TAATATTCGGAAATATAATATAGAAATATAAAATATAAATGTAAAATGTAAAATAAGAATGTAAAATATAAATATAAATGTAAGATGTAAAGTAGAGATATAAGATATAAATATAAAATATATAGTAGAGATATAAGATATAAATGTAAAATATAAAGTAGAAATGTAAAATATAAATATAAATTAGAGAGGGGAGGTAGATTAGAATTATTGTAGAAAATTAATAAAGCGTTAGGAAGAGTATAATTTATATTCTCTATTATTACTTCTAAACGAAAAATTCTTCGGCGGTATTAGTTATAATTGATATAGGATTAGAATCTACGACTTTAGGAAGAATATTCTTATACGTTATTACGTTTATTAATATTATTAATTAGTATTATTATACGTTATTTATTTTTCGTAATCCTCTTTAGTAAATAATAGTTTATTTAGTTTTATATTTATAACTTTTAATTCTCTATTAATAGTATAGTACTACGGGCCCTAATTGCGATTAATAGGGGGGACAATGCGGGTAGGAGAGTTTTATATTAAAATATTTATTAGGGAATTATTATTATTACTAAAAGGATTATTATTAGTAGCTACTAGACTAATATTATTATTAATATTATTAATAATACAATAATCGAAGCTTTAGTATTATTTAGTATTAAAATAGTTAGTACGGAGTATATTAGGTAAAATTATAGGGAGGTTATTGGCGATTAGGCGTGCTTATATCGTATTTTAGAAAGACGATATATATTAGTATAAGTATTATAAAGTAATAGTAGGTAAGGGGGTATTAGTATTAATAAGGGTTATAATTTCAATTATTATAACTTATAAAGTATTCCGAAGGTTGTATATACTACGAAGGATTTTTAATATATATTTATTTTATATTAAAGTATATTGCAATTTTTTAGTAAATTTTAAAGGGTATTAGCGAAGAAGGAGATAAAAAGATAGCGAAAAGGAGGGATTAAGCCTTAATTTAGTAAGTATATAAGGTAATTAGGCGAATAGTTTTATATAAATTAAAGGGGCTAATATTAATAAACGTTTAAGTTAGAGTAATATTATATTTTAAGTAAGTTAGAGGGCGGATATTATTATAAAAGGTTAGTAAAAAGTACGGGGAGGATAGAGTAGTATAGTAGATAAGGGATAAAAGAAGAAGAAAGAATATATTAGTTAAATTCGAGGGCGAAGCGGCGGTTTATATATAAAATAGCGGTAAAGGTATATATATTTATAGTAGGGGTTAGCTTTAGTAAGGGGGTAAGGGTAGTTAAAGTAGTTTTAAAGTTAGACGGGGGGGAGAAATTGGCGAATTTATTAGAGGAGGAGGTAATAGATATAATTGCGAGGGTAAGGATATAAGAAGGAAGAAGGAAGAGGCGGAAGGGGTAGGTGGAAAGGATATTATATAAATAGAGGAGGAGGTTTTTATACGAATATAAATTAAAGTAAGCGAATATAAAGTTGGGTAGGTAAATATAAAAGAAGATAGGGTAAATAAAATTGTAGGTAATAGTATATTATAGAGGAAAGGAATAAATAAAGAGAGTAAAATGAGTATAAATAGTAAGGAGAGAGGGATAGGATAAATAAATAGTAATTACGAATATAGAAGGTTAGGAAGGAAGGAGGTAAATAGAAGGTATATAATTTGGAGTAGGTTAGTAGGGTATAGTAGGTAATTAAGGGTAATAGAATTAGGACGAAAGGTATAATAATAGAATTGGATTAAAAATATAAGGCGGGATAATTAGGAAGGTATTATATAGACGGGAGATATTCGTAGAGGGAAGGGAGCGTAGGATTACGGAAGGTATAAATACTTTAAGGAGTAAGGGAATAGATAATTAAAGAGAAGAATATAGATATTAGAATTAGGGGAAAGGAATAGAGGTTTTACGGACGGAACCTATAAGGGGGGGGGGTTATATTAGGATACCCTAGGCCTTCTAATATTGTAACGCCGACGTTTGTAACCCAACTAACCTTATTAGGCGAAGGTTTTAAATAACTAACGATAGCGGCTAGCTATAATTATTATAGTTAAATTACTAATATTTTAGGCGAAGGTCTTAAGTAACCGACGATAGCGGTTAATTATAATTATTGTAGTTAAGCTATTAATATTTTAAGTAAGGGTTTTGAATAATTAATAATAGCGGTTGGTAATAATTGTTGTAGATTAAACTATTAATACTTTAAGTAAGGGTTTTAAATAATTAATAATAGTGGTTAATAATAATTACTATAGTTAGGCTATTAATATTTTAATTCGTCCTTCGGTATTTTTATTTAATAATTAACTTAAACCGGCTAACTATAATACTTTAAACTTTCTAGTATTATAATATTAACGCCCTCTATTACTTTACTAAGTTTCTACTTAGAAGTATTATATTAACCGACGTCCTCTAACGGCTTATTAAACTCCTACCTAAAAGTACTACGCCGACCGACGCTTTTTTATATTTTATTAAATTTTTACCTAAAAGTATTATACTAACCGACGTTTACTATTACTATAAAGGTCCTAGGGACGGAATTTATAAGGGGGGGGGTTGTATTAGGAGGTTAAGGGCTAACCGCCGGGGAAGGGATACTATAGCGCTATAATACTAACGCGCTATTTTATTTAATTAAACCTTTATTTAGAAATATTACAACGATTAATACCCTCTTTCGCCTAATTAGTCTTCAGCTTAATAGTATTAAAATATTCAACGAAATAGGTTTATAGGAAGGATAATCCGGCGCTGCGTTGTAGCGGTACGCTAATATAGGATTCTATAATTACTAGTTACAACGGAGTAGAGTTTACATTAGTATAAAAGAGGTTCGAAGGAGCTTCGTTCTTTATAGTCGGTAACTATTAATATATCTTTAAATTAACTCCTAACTTACCGTCCCCTACGTATAGCCACGACCGTAGTTACTTTAGCCTACCTTCCTCATACGTCCTAACATACCTTCAATCGAACTCAATTATCTATAATCTCTCTTAATTTAAACTAACCCTTATCATTTTCAATTGTAATATACCCCTTCTTTCTTTTTAAAATATCCAGGTTAATTACTAATATAAGGGGGTCTTATAACTTATTAAATACAATTAACAGTTCGTATAAGTAAAGACTAATCTTTACCTACGTAAATCTAATAGTCAATTATTTAAAAGACTCGCTTTTAATATAAAATAATCTATTTAAGAAGGTAAATTTAGTATACTCTATATTACTATACATTATTATATTAAATATATCTTTTTAATAGTAATATTTATATACTTAAGATACTCTAACGTTAAGTAGTTAAAGGATATAAGTCGAATAAGGGGGTAGTAGAAAGAGGATAATTTTATTTCGTTAGTATTACTAATAGAACTTAATTATATAGTAACTACCGTAATTATTTAATAATAAGAGATACTTCTCCTCCTTATTAATAGGACGAGAGTACTCCTCCTAATAATTAAATTAATCGAAGGTAAATTAGTTATTAGTATAACTATTTAGGAATATAGTAATAATAGAGTAACTATCTAATTGGTTATTAATATAATTCTCGCTAATATTTATACTAGGGAGGATAATAAATGCGGGGATTATACGGCTAGAAGTAGAAATATATTCAACTACTATTATTAATTTATAAACGTTTAAATTTAGAGTATATATTATTAGTATCTTAATATATAATTAAATAATATAAGATTTAAATTATACCCCGACTCTAAATCTAGACTTATCCTTATTCTATATATTATTTAATATAATATTATCTTTATTAACCGTCTCTTACTATAATATAAATACTTCTTCTATATTAACTCAAAACTATATAACTTTACGCACCTACGCCAATAACTTTATACGTACGGATTTGAATTCTAATTGGATTATAAAAGTATAAACCTATTACCAATTAATATCGATTTTACGGCCGTTAAATTGAATAAATTATTTAATTATATATATAACTTCCTAATTTATAATCTTACACCCTATTCAAATATTAAAACAATTAACTAATGATTAATATTAATTATAAATAACTATTATAAATTACTACGAACTAATAAATATTTATGTATTTACTTAAGTAAATAACGCGAGTTCCTCCTCTTTAATTAATTTCTTTACCCCGCTATTTTACAATTATAATTTAGCCCCCTTCGATTGACTTATAGTAATATAATAATTAATACTATAAATTCGTACTACGGCCGTAACCGTCTTGAACTTTCTATCCCTCAATGTACCAATAGCGAAATCGATATACTATTTATTTAAAAGACCGGCGAGAAGGTTACTAATAGGCTCTATTATATATAATTTTATAATAAAGTAACTGGATTAAAAGCGGTATATATATTGAAATCTAAATATAAGAAAGCGATGGGCGAAATTACTAAACGGCCGCAAATAACTAAACTAGCTACTAATTATACCCCGTACGCTATTCGATACGTTAGAAGGCAGTAAGCTAGCCAATTAAATTTATATTAATTATATTAATTATATTATTTTATACCAAATACTAGAGCTCCTAAATTGAGATTTGGTAGTTTATAATAGCTTTAGGCGGTCGTATAAGTTGAATTATTTATAGTGGGTATATAAAAAAGCAGTTGTACTTTGATTTGCTAACAAATTTGCAGGGTTACTATATACTTGGATTTTTTCGCGAATCTATCTGCATTCGCGAATCTATCTGCCTGGCCCCGTGCCAGCACGGGGTCAAACTGGGCGCTTCTAGCCCTGACGAGTACCTCTACAACAGCAGAATTGCTCCGAGATATAGAAGTGATTTGCCGAAGAGTTTAGTCCGTTTCCCCTGGCTTGTGTTTCCATGAGACCTAAGGTATAGGGACAATCAACATTATCGAGCAAAGATAGGGTTAACAGCATGATTCGGATTCCGATGCCCCAGGCCGTACTCTGTACTGTGTACACTAGTGTAGTCCGTAGTCCATAGCTAGCATGTCGACATCAATCAGCCGAGGCTTTCCCTGTTCGCGCATGGATTTCGTGAACAACACCGAGAGGAAGCACACTACGGGTTCCGATAATCAATACCCTCTCCATGGTACTGGGTCGGAAGCAGGTAACAAAAAACGGGAACAACAGAAGAAAGAATCATCCATCCCACTTTGTGTCATGTCTTCGTTCCTCTTTTTGTGTTCTTTGTGATACAGAAACCGAGTATGTAGGTAGGTACTTTGGTGTGCTATGCTGTGCTGTGCTGTGTTTGTCCAATGCGGGCTTCTGGGGTGGTGGAATGGTGTTCAAGTGTCTGTGTAATGTGATATAGGTATTTAACAAATAGATAAAGCCTAGCGATCATGTTTGCTTGCTTGTTGAAGTGACGAAGACCTCGTTAAGGCTCACCAGTGTTGGTTGTTCAGTGCTTGCCGAATTGACTTGCCGTAAGCAACCGCAAATATACATTGACCAGTCGTTTCAAAGATGCCGGAAAGCTGCTTTGAAATGCCGTGCTGACGGCTTTCAGGCAGAACGGGATGGCTGAGACATGGCTTGATGGCGGTTTCGACTGCCGTGACATGAATCATTTGCGGCATTGGTGTTGTTGGGGGGCTCTCGCCTGCCAACGTCCACGATGTTCACTGCAAGATCCTCACAGGACAGGCGTCTGCTACTTGTTGAGGGCATCCCACTGGTGTGGTCACACAAGGCGGCCGCCCACTCAATTCAGATGCCGAACAATCGGTTCGTGTGGGTGTGCAGATGTTCCGTCAGGGCAAACCAGAGGTATTTCGTAGGTTGGTGCCTTAGTAGACAATGATCCTAAAAGAGGTGACCACCACTTTGTAACTTTCAAGCATCGGTGTGTCGTCGGTCATTGCCCCAAGTCTGACCTGCCAGAATGAAGATGATTCAACACCGATTGACTGTCATGTGAATGACATCAAATAAGGCATCAAGAAGATACAGACAGCGGGAACCTTACGTCCTCGCCTCTAGGTTGTTCCTCCAAGGCACAAGGGGAAGGAAGAAGGCAGATGTGGTTGTGCGCAGCATCCCGCTTGGCGGCCCTGGAAGTACATATGTACTGGACATATGGGTGAGTGGACTGCCAATTTCGAGGACTGTGGGACCTACCAGAACTCAATGACCAATCAGACGTCTTGGTTCTCGCATCCATCTCCGACCATTCTGCCTCTTCTGTTTTCTCAGTTCCCGACCTTTAACAGCAATTGAGGAGGGAAAGGCGTTCGCATCAATGTGCGCTGGATTTGCTCGCCTTGGCACCCTTTGCACCGTTCAACACACTTCTGTTGTCCTCCTCCAGGATCCGACCTGAGAGAGGTCATCTACCACGACACGTCGTCCAGTTAGTTAGTTGCCTTGTTGGTCGTCATCGGCTTAATCCCGACATCAGGGCACTCCTCAGACCTCATCTCCCAGCTCCAAAATCCCAACCAATGTCCGCAAATCCCAGACGCCAGGTCCCGGGCCCAGGAACCCCAAGAACCGCAGGAACCAATTCCAGAGGCCAGCAAGGTTCGCTCCCCACGTTTCTGCCACGGGCCGCCAGTGTCCACCACCTCTGATTTCGAGGCTCCTCACAGGCTGTACAACCCAGGTCGTACTGGCGTGTGCCCAGTAGCTCGGGACTGGGAGGGCGCTGTTCCGACGGTTTGGATAGGTAGCCCGTGGCTGTTAACCTCTTCCACACTTGGCTCGGGGAAACACCAACGCCATCCTTCTTGACCTTGGCTTCCCTCTCGGCTATGTTTCCAGACGTCGTAATACGAGTTCCTGGACGAGATACAACGTCACCTCGGCCCGCGGCATTGGCAGCAACTGCGTATATCTATAGTACCCCTTCTAACTTCCCGGAGCCTGGTCCTATGGGTAGGAGTGTGGACGGATATGGAGATGGATTGGCCAGGACATGGCGAATACAAGACGAAATAATGGATCTGATGGAGCCGCCCGCTTGCATGCGCTCCCCCGTTGGTAATAAGCCAAAGGAATGGTTTGCTCACATGGTGGGCATGGCCTTTTTGTGTCATGCATGACCGTTATCCATCGATCGATGCAGCTTTGCAATCTTTGGGAATTCTGGGTCCTCCATGGGCCATAAGACCATGTTCCTCCAACCTCCTCCTTCATGGACAACGGAATGGGCATGGACTGCTCACTCCTCCGGATTTCCCCCGGAGCGACTCCCCTCCTCTCCGCCAACTAGCATCTAGCCATGTAGAAGCCCGTCTCTATACCCTGGGTCTGCCCTGTCTATTGCCGTCTGATCCCATTCGCCTTTGTCTTCGTCACAATCACAACTGGACCTTGCCCTGTCGTGCGACTTATACCCGCAGTCTCGCCGGCAAACTTCACTGGTTCTTCTTTTCTTCCCTCCCGGATACGCATATTGAGACCGGATCAACACCGACAGCGTGGGACCAGCCCAGTTATTACTCCACGTTTCCCTCTCCTCCATCCCTTCGACGAACACCACACCAACCGAACACGTCCCCAACGTCCCGGGACAGATACCAGCAGTGCGGTTTGACAGACAAGTCATACGGCCGTGCGACCGGCCCCGTAGGCAATCAGCTTCCCAACGAGACGGAGCCAGTGACATCGGTGTAACCTAAGTCAGTCCAAACTGTTACTCGACTTCGATATCCTGGTCAAGCCCGAACCCAGGCAGAATCCGACAGACAGGCGACAGCCATCAGACATACAGCTAGCAGTGCTTACGGTACATACGACTGCTGCACCGAGGTTACTGCACCCTCAACGACGGACTGCAAACAACGTCCTTCCTTCTAAAGGGAATTGATTAAGAATAATAGTTCTTGACGTTAGCTCTTACTTACAGGTATTATACCTCTCCGTTTTTACTTTTGGTTGCGCTGTTTTGCCCAATACTGTGTTGCATTCTATACCACCAGCCGACAGCCCCTGGTTGTTTTGTATCATCCCCTACTTGAGCCAGGCAACATCTGGATCTCAAATCCATGCATATTGGGAACACACCAGACATGCCTCTTTATACGTATGGCCTTAACCGTGCGTGCTTCTTGTTATGTACGGCTTGCGGGAACTAGTCAATAGCATGATGTGGTTCACCCATTCCGTCTCAATCTTCTACGGACGTGTGGCTTCAGTGAGCCTCTCTTCCATCCCCATTTGTTTAGTTGAGGGAAGTGAATGGCTGACCTCATGTTTCCAGGCACTTCACTTGCCAAGGTTCAATTTTGGACCCAGGGTCATCGTGCCAGCAGAACCTTTCCCTTGTTTATACTTATATTCACTTACTGTGGTTGGAACACTACGTGTGCCACTTTGACCTTTCGACGACTTCAAATCTGAAGCAACACCACATCCATCGAAAAGCCAAATCGAACTGTCATCATGGGAAAATTCAAGATTAGCTCTTGGCTGAACCGCAGCCCATCACCCATGTCCGACGAGGACGGAAAGAAGCAAAACCGCTCGTCATTTTCGGGCCTTTCTTCATCACTGACCTCCAAGCCCAAGGAGCCTCAGTCTAACACCACTGGAATCCATACCCCTCCTTCCGATGAGCCGGAGCGACAGCCGTCAACCTCGCGGATGATTGCGTTGGCGCAAAAGATTGCAAAGGAAACAGAAAAGTTGGAGACGTACATGAAGGATAACAACCTCCCGATGCCAAGTTTTGACGTTGATGCGCCCGCCGATTTCCCGAAACTGCCCGCCGAGATTTCGAGAAGCAGGCAGGAAATCATTTTCGCTACGAGAGAACTGGGCTTGCTTGCACATGGACCTCGCGAGTCGCTGAGATGGGGTGTTTGGGAGGTGCGTTGGCGAGAATTGTTCTCAAGGTTCTTCAATTTTCGGTAACAGAGGTTGAACTGACATGCTCTATAGTTCCTTGACGTTCTTGCCTTGCAAGTGATCACTCATTATGACATTGGTGAGTCTATGGTTAACTGCACTGTTTTGCCCTTCTTGCAAATCGCTAACAGTTTTCAGCCAAACTGTTCCCCCCAGCCGAGACCATCACCCTCTCGGAGCTTCAATCCAAGACATCATTGGACCCTATCAACCTGGCCCGCATCCTCCGCCTCGCCATGACTAAGGGCATCTTCCGTGAGCCCGTCCCGGGCATCATTGCCCACACGGCCGCCTCCCGCGTGCTTGCTGAGGACAGCGACCTGCATGCCTGGGTTGCCTTCAACGGAGAGGACATCTTCCCGGCCGCAGCCCACGTGCTTGAGGCGCTCAAGACCCACCCAGAAGCCACCTCACTCACCCGCGCCGGCTTCCAATTCGCCTTTGGTACGGTCGATAAGGAGCCCATGTTCGTTACCTTTGGCAAGGACCCGGCGCGCGCGCGGCGTATGGGCAAGGCCATGGTCAGCCTTACTGGTGGCGAAGGCTACGAGATCTCGTATCTGCTCGATGTCGAGGGTGGTGGCTACGACTTTAGCGAGATCGACGCTAAGGGGGGCACGTTTGTGGACGTGGGTGGCTCGCATGGTTTTGTGGACGTGGACTTGGCCAAGAAATATAGGAACATGAAGTTTGTGGTACAGGATACGGCCAAGACGGTCGAGAGCGCGCCCAAACCGATTTGTGAGGACGAGCAGGTTGCTGGCAGGATTGAACTGATGCCTCATGATTTCTTCCAAGAGCAGCCTACCAAGGATGCTGATGGTGAGTACCGTGTCTTTCCTTCTCGCCGAGTTTCGCTTACCAACCAATACTTATAGTCTACTTCTTCCGCTGGATCATGCACAACTACTCTACCCCCTATGCCGTCAAACTCCTGAAGAACTTGATCCCCGCCCTCAAGCCCGGCGCCCGCGTCATCATTAACGACCATTGCCTTCTCGAGCCCGGTCAGGAAAATCCCTGGGACGAGACCGTCATGCGTCGTATGGACTTGGTCATGCTAGCGTTGCTCAACGCGCAGGAGCGCACCGAGGCCGAGTTCAGGGACCTGTTCAAGGCTGCTAGTGATGGGTTTGTTTTCAAGGTATGTCCAGTCGTCAGCACCACATACTGCATGAGTAATGCTTTCTGGGTTTACCTCTGAATACTTAATGGCTAACAATGTGTTGCAATAGGGCGTCACAAGACCTAAGGGATGCCGAATGAGTATCATCGAGGCTGTTTGGCGACCTGACCTGGTTGACTACGGTGCTTCTGCTACTCCTGCTGATGCTGATGCTGCCGCTGGTGCTACTGGTGCTACCACCGCCGCCGACGTCGAAGCTTCTACAACAAATGCCCTTGAGGAATTGGAGCTGGAGGATCAGGAGGCTAAGTGAACAGCCAGCTATTAGCCATTTCGGCTTGTAAGAAAACGACGGGTCGAGAGTGAGTGACTGAACTTCTCTAGCCAGTTTGAGGTGCCCTTCTTCACTCATCCTTATTAGTTCATTGGTAACTTGCTGCATTGAACTATCAGGGTTTCAGCTTCTTTTCTTTTTCTTCCTACGAGAATTTGGAGGATACCCTCTGGGGAAAGAGCAGAGAAGTTTAATTTTCCGAACGAATAATTCAGAAAAGAGAGGAGAATGAGTGAAGAACAGAAGCAGATGCAGAAGCGGAAAGTGGCGGAGCAACAAAGCAGTGGGTCATATCATCAATATCCATCTTACTCATATTCCTCAACCGCTCAGAAATATCATAGATTAAACATACCCTTAGGTACCTCGCCGTCCTTAGCTAGTAATCTGAATTAACTAATGCTCCCTATCAATGATGACACGAAGTATAACCCAAAATACACACGGTAGACGGGAAGAGATCTTGAGGCAGGTGATATGAACCATGTACAGGAGAATAACTATGACCGGAACATCGCCGTCATGATGTCGCAGAAAACGATTCTTGCAATATCTATTATTCAATTATCATCGTTCTTTTATTATCCAATTGTTATCTATTTACTCAACAGAGGTTTTTTTCGCTGTTTTTTTCATTTTGTTTTCTTTTCTAAGAGGGGGGGTTGGTTCCAACTGACATCAACGGCATTCTATTTCCACCCGCATAAAGATCTACTTACAGAAGATCCGTGATGCTTCGCGATCGATCGTGTCGATCCTGCCATTTTATTTCTCTTTCGCTTTTCATTGTGTTTCGCAATTCGGCCTGTCTTTCCTCAGGCAGGCTGGCATCAACGGGTGAGCCGCACCTTCCCCTTCAACGGCACGTCTCCCCCCCCCCCCCTTTCGCTGTATTTCCGGGGCGCAACTTCCGTAGTACGTCGAACCTTCCGTTCGCTTCAGTCCTTTTTCTGCGTTAGAGGTAACGGCCAACAACCAACAGCGAATAACCAACAAAGGGCGGACAGACGGACAGAACAGCCCGGGGAGACAGCGCCAGGCCAGCGCCAGGGCCAGCAGGCCAGCGGGCCGTGCCGACTTCACTTGGGCATTCTTTGAAACAAGAAAAACAATGAGGAGGAGGAGGAGGCTAAGAACGGAGCGAGCAGAGGGAGGGGAGGTGCGGTCCTGCCCGCCCGTACGCCACCCGCAAATCACATTTGCACACAGGAAGGAAGGAAGTGAGGGCCCGGGGTCCGGAAACAGCAGCCCAGAACAAAAAGAGTGAGTACCTAGACAGGTAGGTAGAGGTACGTACCGGCTGAGACGAGAAAGTGACGACATGTCAACAAGTGATGGAAGGTGAGGACAAAGACACATAGACGTACCTAGAAACTTCGAGATAAGAAGAGGAAAAAAAAAAAAAAAAAAAAAAAAAAAAGACAGAAATGGAACGCATCGATAGCTAAGAAGGGTACTGTACTGTACTCTACGACCACCATACTTGCTCGGTCAACTCGGCCGATTCAGCCAGCAGTTGGCATCAACTACTTAGTATGTCTCTTCAAAACAGCGCTTTCAAGCTTCATCGTCAGAATAAGCATGGGATGGGATGGGTTTAAATGGCTAACGTGGGTACCTAGCGTTCGTTACTACCTTTCTGCTCTATAACCCTCCCTCTCAGGTGATTGCATCTATCGCTCCGAGTTATTGCAATATAGTGGTAGGACAGCGAAGACGACGATATATAACAGCTACATGTTTAAGGAAATATCTATCCATATATATTATCAATCATTCTACTACACACAATGACTGCTTGGTTGGCTCACTAATCGACAACCATCCGACAGAGAGGAAATGGAAACAAATATAAGGATGTTGTGCGAAATACATATTTTCATTCTCAACGACACCAAACCAAACGGGCAACAACACAAACAGATAGACTATTTGCCCTAGGTTTCTCTCCCTCCTCTATTCTTCTAAAGCGAAGTATAAGACAAGTCAAGACGGGACAGGACAAACACCACTACTCGACCGATTGACCAGCAGTTGACTGTCTTTCTCTTTTCTAGCAAGCAAGAGAGCGAAAACCACCAGGTCCTGACGTGACAAGAAGCATATGCCGACCTTTTCAAAATTTTAAATTCATATCGTCGATTCAATTCTTTGCTTTACATCAATTTTTATAATTTTGTGTTTTTGTCATATACATATAAGTGTGTCAAGTTATCGAACAATCAGTCGAGATCGATCGTATCATCGATCGATCAACTGATTTCATCCATCCATACATCAGTTCCATTTCCTTACCCATTTCCATACCCATTCCAGTCCTTCCTTCTCTTTGCTCTTCTTAATCATCATGAAACATTGTTTGTGTATATCTTGTCTTTGGGAGTGGTGTTTTTTTTTTTTTGTGTTTTAATGTTGAAGAAATTTCATGTTTGTGTGGTGCAATGAAATGCGATGCGATGCGAGCGAGGCTGAGGCTGGTGATGCTTAAGATTCCTCCTCCTTCTTGTCGCCGTATCGCATGCGCTCATTCCACTTGCGCTTTCCAACGCGGGTCTCGTAGTGCGGCGCAGCCGTCTTGACGTCTTGCATCATGCCTTCGATGGCAGTTCGGGTCTTGTTTCGGTAGCAGTCCACTGTGTTGTAGGCGGCAATGATTAGCAATCTTGTTGCGTATATGGGAAGGAAAGCGGATGAAGTGATAAAAGGAAAGGGAAAAACCCACAAGCACGCTGCAGGAACACCGTCCTTCCAGCAAATACTCTGCTCTGGAGCCAGGCCATGCGATAGCCCAAGTCATTGAGCCGCACCTCTTTTCCACGGAACGCTTTCCTCATTCGGGGGATGGCGATCTCGCCCTCCTGGCTTTCGCCCATCGGGACCTTGACCATGACTCTGCCGCTCCGCTTGGTACCCCTTGCTGTGCCCCGACCCTCCGTATCGGTGGTACCGTCATCCTCCACGTCACTCAAGTCATCGGTAAAGAACTTGCTGCCAGTGGCACTAGGAGGTGGGCTTTGCATCTCACGAGGGAAGTACGAGCGAGGGTAAACGCTAGCTCCCTTGCGGAAACTGTCGGGAATCTCGCGCGTGTCGACTCCATCAAGAGTAACTCTCACGCGGAGACGGCTGTGCCTGTCGCTGTCCTCAACCAGGATAAACTTGCGCTTCTTTGCTTCGGGGATATCAGGGAAGAGATCCTCGGGCTCGTCATCACGGGCGGTGCCGCGGCCGGGGGTCGTCGTGCGACGAGCGGTAACAGGACCGGTGCCGCTGGCATGTGGAGAGCCACTGAGGGTGTCATGAATCGAAGGCATCGCGGACGATCCGTATGGCGCACCGTTGGGATATGAGCCGTGGTTGGAGAAAACCTGGGCTGGTCTTTCGTCAGAGCTACCCTGGGAGGGAGCCTGATGATGATGGTGGTGGTGGTGCTGTTGGTCGTCACCGTACTCCCCATCGCCTAAAAAAAGCAAAGAAATACGAGTTAGCGCGTTGATCCCAGTGGTGGATAGGCCAGACCCGACGGCATGGACCAGTTAGCCTTGCAACTTGAGAGTGCGATTGAGTGTGATGCTGTTTCAAACCAAAAGCCTGCGCGGCAACGTCAACTCGCAAATCTCTAACAACCCCCATGCAATGCGCGGTAAAGACAAAGTAACAGCAATTTCGGGGCTTTCCAGCCGCTCGGGAATGCCCCCCTGTTTCGCAGAGGGCCAAGTACATGTGTGGGTGATGATGGCGTTGGTTAATATGTGACAAGCGATGCTGATGGGTATGCAATTGCAAGGTAAATGCAATGCAAAACGTTTGCCAGAAGCCAGACGACTGAACGACGACCGAAAACCAGCAACACAAACTAAACAACAGCAAACGCGCAACTATCGTAATGTACAGATCTTTGTTTATACCAGAGATCTCCAGTATCGCCCATGCAGAGCTCGTCAACTTGCGTTGGCAAGCCGGTATATATCAAATCTGAAAGAAAAAGACAAAAACAAAGTATCCCAAAACCCATAACATAAACCAAACAAGGCAGGCGCAGTTTTAAACAATCGGTTTGAAATGAGGTATCACACTGAATCGCAACAACTCGCGCATTAGGCCATCTGGTGAAACATACCGACTTCGTCTCCTCCTCCCTGAGCATTTCCGTTATCGTGGGCATGGTGATGGTGCATCGACGTACCCATATTATTAATTCCAGGCTTGTTGATAGCGGCAGCGCCGCTGGAGCCCATTGCTGCCGGTGTCGAGATGCCAGCAGGGCCGGTGGGACCGGCCATGTGGGCAGGATGGGGCGTTGCCGAACCGGCCTTGTTGCGGTGGTTCATCTTGGCCATTCGCCGCACGCGGCGGGATCTGAGTCGCGGATCTTGGTTGCTGTTGCGCCAGCTGTCCACCGCCCTTTGAATGAGCCCTCTCTTGCCTCTAAGGGGCGGGTTCAACTGGGCCAACGCCCAACCGACGGTGTTGCACTCGGTCTCGTACTGCAGACGGTTGCCACGGTACTGCTCCTTGGGGCAGCACGCGCGAGGATAAACGCAGTTCTCGGTCTTGAACTCGGGAGACAGCTCATCCTGATTAACCGATTCCACGTCGCAACGGATTGTGTATTCCATCTTGACCCTGTCGCGAGAGTACTCGAAAGCAATCCACTGAACACCGTTTTGATCCTGTCTAACGACGAGTGGTGTTGTCGCGGGAATCGGACCGGGAGCTGCGTTAGGGTTCACGCCAGATGCCGATCCAGTGGGCGTCGTGCCGTTCTGAGGAGTAGTCGACGGGGCGCCGCCAGCGAGCGGTACGGGGGCATTGTTTCTCTGCATCTGATGGTTCATGCCGTGCTGGGTCTCAATCTTGCCCTGGCGAGGGCTGACTGTTGCCATTCCTGCCTGAGCATTCAGTGTCGCCTGGTGGCTTGTCTGGTGCTGCGGCGCGGTGTGAGACATCATCATGCTGGGCTGAGAGGCTATGGACTG